CCAGCACGTTGTGCTAAACCCGTTACTGGGATTTCGAGCTGCGTCGCCCCCGCAAACGCTTTGCGCTAAACCTTGCAGTGGGATTTCGAACTGCGTCTCCCCCGCCAACACGTTGTGCTCAACTCTTCAGTGGGGTTTCGAGCTGCGTCTCCCCCGCCAACACGTTGTGCTAAATCCTGCGGCCCCAGGCCGAAAGTTGTTTCCCCTTGCGTTAAAAATATGTAAACAACAATGGATCCAATTGGTCTTTTTTTTCGGGTGTGGGACAGTTTCGTGAATCCTATTTCTGTGTTGCGCGGATCCAATTTCTTGTGTGTGTGTGAGAGAAAAAAATCGATGGATCCATGTATTTCCCGGGAACATATATATATATATATATCATAATAGTTAACATTCGGGACCCAGAGGACATGGGATCCGCGGAGCACCGCAAGTGAAGCATCATGCTATCCACGGGGTTGTGGATCTGCATACCAGTGCTATGGTTCTACGGGGGAAGGGGGGCCTTCCCAAGATGGAGAGAGGAAGGATGAGGCATGATGCAAGAGGAGGTGGGAGGAGAACAGAGGGGATCGGCGCGTCGCTTCCGACATGTGGGGCTCAAGAGGAACATCTTTCGGCCTGCGTAAGTGGGATTTCGAACTGCGTCTCCCCCGCCAGCACGTTGTGCAAAACCCGTCACTGGGATTTCGAGCTGCGTTTCCCCCGCCAACACTTTGTGCTAAACCTTCCAATGGGATTTCGAACTGCGTCTCCCCCGCCAACACGTTGGGCTAACAGTATGAAAACAGCAATGGGTCCAATTGGATCCCTCTTTCGTGTGTGGGACAGTTTCGTGGATCCTATTTATGTGTTGCGCGGATCCAATTTCCTGGGTGTGAGAAAAAAACGATGGGTCCAATTATTTCCCGGGAATAGATACCTATTAATAATTAGCATCTGGGACCCGGGGGACATGGGATCCGCGGAGCACCGCAAGTGAAGCATCATGCTATCCACGGAGTTGTGGATCTCAGACCAATGCTATGATTCTACGGGGGAGGGGGGGGGCCTTCCCAGGATGAAGAGAGGAATGGTGAGGGATGAAGCAAGAGGTGGGAGGAGAACAGAGGGGATCGGCGCGTCGCTTCCGACATGTGGGGTCAAGAGGAAAATCGTTCGGCCTGCGTAAGTGGGATTTCGAGCTGCGTCTCCCCCGCCAAATCGTTGTGCTAAACCCTGCAGTGGGGTTTCGAACTGCGTCTCCCCCGCCAACACGTTGTGCTCAACCCTTCAGTGGGATTTCGGGCTGCGTTTCCCCCGCCAACACGTTGTGTTAATTCCTGCATCCTCAGGCCGAAAGTTTATTCTTCTTGGACGAACAGTATGAAAACAGCAATGGATCCAATTGGATCCCTCTTTCGGGTGTGGGACAGTTTCGTGGATCCTATTTCTGTGCCGCGCGGATCCAATTTCCGGTGTGTGTGTGTGTGTAAAAAAAAGACGATGAGTCCATTTATTTCCTGGGAATATTTATATATATAACATAAAAATTAACATCCGGGACCCAGGGGACATGGGATCCGCGGAGCACCGCAAGTGAAGCATCATGCTATCCACGGAGCTGTGGATCTGCAGACCAATGCTATGATCCTACGGGGGAGGGGGGCCTTCCCAGGATGAAGAGAGGAAGGATGAGGCATGAGGCAAGAGGAGGTGGGAGGAGAACAGAGGGGATCGGCGCGTCGCTTCCGACATGTGGGGCTCAAGAGGAAAATCTTTCGGCCTGCGTAAGTGGGATTTCGAACTGCGTCTCCCCCGCCAGCACCGTGTGCTAAACCCGTCACTGGGATTTCGAGCTGCGTCTCCCCCGCCAAATCGTTGTGCTAAACCCTGCAGTGGGGTTTCGAACTGCGTCTCCCCCGCCAACACGTTGTGCTCAACCCTTCAGTGGGATTTCGGGCTGCGTCTCCCCCGCCAACACGTTGTGCTAAACCCTGCATCCCCAGGCCGAACGTTTTTCCTCTTGGATTAAAAATATGAAAACAACAATGGACCCACTTTGTCTTTTTTTTGGGTGCGGGACAGTTTCGTGGATCCTATTTCTGTGTTGCGCGGATCCAATTTCTTGTGTGTGATTAAAAAAACGATGGGTCCATTTATTTCCCGGGAATGAATATATAATAATAATGAACATCCGGGACCCAGGGGACATGGGATCCGCGGAGCACCGCAAGTGAAACATCATGCTATCCACGGAGCTGTGGATCTGCAGACCAATGCTATGATTCTACGGGGGAGGGGGGGGCTTTCCCAGTATGAAGAGAGGAATGGTGAGGGATGAAGCAAGAGGAGGTGGGAGGAGAACAAAGGGGATCGGCGCGTCGCTTTCGACATGTGGGGCTCAAGAGGAAAATCTTTCGGCCTGCGTAAGTGGGATTTCGAACTGCGGCTCCCCCGCCAACACGTTGTGCGAAACCCGTCACTGGGATTTCGAGCTGCGTCTCCCCCGCCAAATCGTTGTGCTAAACCCTGCAGTGGGATTTCGAACTGCGTCTCCCCCGCCAACACTTTGTGCTCAACCCTTCAGTGGGATTTCGGGCTGCATCTCCCCCGCCAACACGTTGTTCTAAATGCTGCATCCCCAGGCCGAGCGTTTTTTTTTCTTGGACAAAAAATATGAAAACAACGATGGACCCAATCTGTCTTTTTTTTCGGGTGCGGGACAGTTTCGTGGATCCTATTTCCGTGTTGCGCGGATCCAATTTCTTGTGTGATAAGATAAACGATGGATCCACTTATTCCCCTGGAATATATATATATACACATACATACATACATACATACATATATACACATAGTTAACATCCGGGACCCAGGGGACATGGGATCCGCGGAGCACCGCAAGTGAAGCATCATGCTATCCACGGAGTTGTGGATCTGCAGACCAATGCTATGATTCTACGGGGGAGGGGGGGCTTTCCCAGTATGAAGAGAGGAATGGTGAGGGATGAAGCAAGAGGAGGTGGGAGGAGAACAGAGGGGATCGGCGTGTCGCTTCCGACATGTGGGGCTCAAGAGGAAAATCATTCGGCGTGCGTACGTGGGATTTCGAACTGCGTCTCCCCCGCCAACACGTTGTGCTAAACCCGTCACTGGGATTTCGAGCTGCGTCTCCCCCGCCAAATCGTTGTGCTAAACCCTGCAGTGGGGTTTCGAACTGCGTCTCCCCCGTCAACACGTTGTGCTCAACCCTTCAGTGGGATTTCGGGCTGCGTCTCCCCCGCCAACACGTTGTGCTAAATCCTGCATCGCCAGGCCGGATTTTTTCTTCTTGGACGAAAATATGAAAACAGCAACGGGTTCAATTGGATCCCTTTTTTTCTGGTGTGGGACAGTTTCGTGGATCCTCTTTCTTTGTGCCGCGCGGATCCAATTTCCTGTGTAAAAAAACGATGGATCCATTTATTTCCCGGGAATGTATAGTAAAAATTAGCATCCGGGACCCGGGGGACATGGGATCCGCGGGGCACCGCAAGTGATGCATCATGCTATGCACGGAGCTGTGGATCTGCAGACCAATGCTATGATTCTACGGGGGAGGGGGGGGGCCTTCCCAGGATGAAAAGAGGAAGGGTGAGGGATGAGGCAAGAGGAGGTGGGAGGAAAACAGAGGGGATCGGCGCGTCGTTTCCGACATGTGGGGCTCAAGAGGAAAATCGTTCGGCCTGCGTAAGTGGGATTTCGAACTGCGTCTCCCCCGCCAACACGTTGTGCTAAACCCGTCGCTGGGATTTCGAGCTCCGTCCCCCCCGCCAACACTTTGTGCTAATCCTGCAGTGGGATTTCGAATTGCGTCTCCCCCGCCAACACGTTGTGCTCAACCCTTCAGTGGGATTTCGGGCTGCGTCTCCCCCGTCAACACGTTGTGCTAAATCCTGCGTCCCCAGGCCGAACGTTTTTTCCTCTTGGACAAAAAATATGAAAACAGTAATGGATCCAATTGGATCCCTTTTTTCGGGTGTGGGACAGTTTCGTGGATCCTCTTTCTTTGTGCCGCGCGGATCCAATTGCCTGTGTGTGAAAAACGATGGATCCATTTATTTCCCGGGAATAAATATATAATAATAATTAACATCCGGGACCCAGGGGACATGGGATCCGCGGGGCACCGCAAGAGAAGCATCATGCTATCCACGGAGTTGTGGATCTGCAGACCAATGCTATGATTCTACGGGGGAGGGGGGGCCTTCCCAGGATGAAGAGAGGAAGGGTGAGGGATGAGGCAAGAGGAGGTGGGAGGAGAACAGTGTGGATCGGCGCGTCGCTTCCGACATGTGGGGTCAAGAGGAACATCTTTCGGCCTGCGTAAGTATTCAGGGACACAGAGTAAGAGTCCTCCACGCAAGCGCATTCGAGTGAAACTGTGGTGTGAAACGCAAGCGCTCTCGTATTCGCGGAAGGCAAAATCGGATTAAGCGCATGTTGGGCTCTGTGCGCTGGATGGGTCCACTACGATCAACCCGCATATTAAGGATGAACAAATGTCCAGGGTTTCCCTTGCATCGTTCCCCTTCGGCCCATCCCTGGCCGCTTTTGCTTACCACGCCCCGACCGTAAAGTGTCGACATGGCCTTCCAAGGCCCTTGCATCCATATCGAACGTTCTCACTATACGGGTCGACTGTATCGCTGTGCAAGGAGCCGCACGCACCAGCCGCTGCAGGCGCGGTGGCGGACCAGCACTCCCGGCCCGGGCGCCGGCGACGACGCGGAGGTTAGTGGCGAGGGCAGAGGCGAGGAGCCCGCCTCGCCGTCCGCCGAGCCGGCCGTGACTGGTTGGCTGGTGCTCGGGAGCCTTGGGACGGGGGTCAGCGCAAGCGGGGGCCAGCCAGAGTTCAAGCAGTGGCGAAGCGTCCCCGCTCGCCTACAGCCCCACCAAACCATTTTCTAAGAACCTTGTGTGGTTCCCCCAAAACGCTGTCAGAACAGTTCTGGTTGGGATTGTCTTGTTTTATCACACCGGGTTTATGTTCTAAGAACATTGTTTTTGTTATTAGGGCATTTTTGGGTTTGCGTGCAGGAGCGTCCAGGATCTTGCAGGATCCTGCGAAGCCCGACTGACCCGAGTTTGGATTGACCCGGGTCAGTGCGCCCCCGAGGTGTACGTGCCCGATGACCACGGGAAGTTCCTGCTGGTTTACACCAACGGCGCCCGCCCGAACGTGGCAACGGGCGACATCATTGCCAAATTCGGGCCGACCGAGAAGGTACCCCCCTTCAAGATCACGGGGAAGCCGACCGAGCTGAAAAAGCACGTAGACCAGAACAAACTGTACTACGAGGGCTTCTGCACGTTTCTGGCTGTCGCCGTGAAGATGAGGTGCTCGTACCTCGAGGTCTTCAACGGCAATGTGCCGCCGAATCGACCGCAGGTTGCGGTTATCTTCTTGGAGGGTGATGGCCTCATGGAAAGCAAACACCGCGTGGTAAAGTTCGGAGGGTCGTCGTTGCCCGACGAGCCGCGGCGATGGGAAGGAAACGGTGAGGACATTCACTTTGTAGGGACGATCAGCTACATGGACAATACGTTCGATAACATCAAAGAGCTCGTCAAGGACGTCTTCTTCAAGCTCTGTACAACTAGAGGCGGCTGCGCCATAAAGGCGAAGTCCTAGTTTCTGCGGCAGGAAAAAATGAGCGACACCCGCAGGCGAAGCGACGATCCGTCCAGGGCACGGGCACCCGGCGCATCCAGGGCAGGGCTCGACGAGTCCTCAGGGGCGACGAGCCGGCCCCGGTTCCCAGCCCAGCGGGCCAGAGGCCTTCCGTTTTTGGCTGGGTCGCCCCTCCTGCGTTTTTCAGCTGCCGTCCGATGGTGGGGCCCTTCGCCTACTGTGGGAGTCTCGCCGCCACCCGGCCGCGGCGTGCAATGTCCTGTCCCCTGTTCACTTGTGGTGGTTTCGTTCACTTGTGGTGGTTTCGCGCGGGGTTCCGCCGCGAGCTGTCCCCGCCAGGGCGTCGTTGGGTACCAGGCGCGGGCGGGCCTGCCTGGGAGGAGGAGGAGGAGGAAGAGGAGGTGGAGGAGGAGGAGGAAAGGGAGGAGGGGGAGGAGGAGGAGGAGGAGGAACAATAATTATCAATATTGTAGCTATCAGTAACCCCAGTACTAATACTTATAGGAATACTGTTTCAACAATTACTACTATTATTACAACTACAGCTACTAGTATTACTATTACTAGTATTACTACTACTATTACTACTATTACTATTATTACTACTACTACTACTACTGCTACTACTACTACTACTACTAGTAATTATCCGACTGCTACTACTACTACGACTACGACGACGACGACGACGACTACTACTACTATTACTACTACTACCACTACTACTGCTACTACTACTACTACGACTACTACTGCTACTACTACTACTACTACTGCTACTACTACTACTACTACTACTGCTACTACTACTACTACTACTACTACTACTACTACTACTACTACTACTACTTCTACTTCTACTACCACTACTACTACTTTTACTATTTCTACTACTACTACTACTTCCATTACCATTCCGACTTCTACTACTACGAGTAGTCAGCATAACGGCACGACTCGTACCATTAAGAGTATTAACATTGTGTGTATTGTTACGGGATATTGTTCTCATCTTGCTACAATATATAATAACTAGCATTCGTGACGATACCAATGAAACTATCAACGCCACACGTAGTAGCCAGACGATCAATCATAAACATACGAAAGCCACGGGTAATACTAAGGGTTCGAACATCTTGATGGTAGGGAAACTGCACGAATACTAATAGTATGTTTAAGAAACGTGAACAATAAGAATAAGAGCAATGCTAATAATCATGATGCCAAGAAGACCCTATACAATTCTCATAATCATGATACGACAACAAATAATACTACGAACGATAGTAGTAGTAAAAAAGGTATTGCGACGACGAGTAATTCGAATATTAGTAAAACGAAGAGGCATGCTCACACCAACACGTGACCAGGCGACTGAACATATTTGAACATTGGCAATAGCAAACATGCGGATACTAGGACTAGTATGTGTACAGGTTTTTTTAAACCAAGACGGATGGCATTTATATTATTTACAACCAGCATGGGTAACCATGACAGTACTATTACCAAAGGGATGAAGACGACCATAGCGCGACCACCAACGAACATTAAGCTTACTAAGCATGGTAAAAAGAAGACGGAGAACAGGCGGAGGAGGAAGAGACGGAAACGGAGGAGGACCAGGTAGAGGAACAGGAGGAGGAACAGGAGGAGGAACACGAGGAGGAACATTGGGAAGGCACCGAGGAGGTGGAGGATGATAAATGAGCCAGGAGGGAGAACAGGACAGGATGGATGCGTGAGGATCAGGAAGAGGATGTACAGGAGTAGGCAGGAGGGGGGAGGTAGGGAGGGAGGGAGGGAGGGAGGGAGGAGGAGGATGCGGACGAGGAGGAAGAGGGGGGAAGAGGAGGAGGAGGAGGAGGAGGAGGAGGAGGAGGATTCGACTCTCCGTAGCCATTTTGGCTCAAGTCCGTAGCGAGGCTCAGGAGCCAGCAGCGGGCAAGAGCTTTTGTGGCACAGGGGGTCCGCGGCCCCTACCTTCTTCACTGCTGTCAGATATTGCACTTGGGGCTCTGTCCCCTCTCTGTTTTGTCTGCACATCCTCTTTCGCTTTCCACTGCAGTGGTCGATGGCAAATGACGGAGCGTACACCGATTTTGAGACGTGGCAGTGCAGCCACAAGAAGTGCGGGTACCGCTGCAACTTCATGTCTCGTTCTCGCTGCAGAGTGTGCGGCCGCTCGGCTCCCAGCGTGCCCTCGCCACCTTCAGCGGCAAGGCAGCTTGGGGCGTGGGTCAATGGACCGCCGCGCAAGGGCCCAGGCCGCGGTGCTGGAGGCACAGGCGACGCGAGTGGTGTCGGTGGCAAAGGGCAAGGTGCGCAGCTCAGCTACCTTGACTTGTCCTCCATCGAGATCTATGCCAAGCCCGATCGGAAGGATTTCGAGGCCTTGTCCGCCGAGTGGGCGCCCAAGCTGGTGGCCAAGGTGGTTGCCCATCGCTCCCTTCTTGCAGGCGGGCCTCAGGCGGAGGCCAAGTCCGCGCGCGTCGAGCAGGATGCGTTGGCGGCCAAGCGGGACATGGCGCAGCGTGTCTTCGACGAGGCACAGGCGGCGGCAGCCAAGGCCATCGCTACCGCGGCGCAGGCCAAGCAGGACTTGGAGGACGCCAAGGCCAGGCGCGCCGAGGCGGCCGCGCGCGCGGCCAAGGCCTTCGCCGAGATGGCCGCGCCAGCGGCCGACGACCCCGTCAAGCGGCCCACCGCCCTTGCAACAGGGCTCGAGGCCAACGACAAGCTCAAGCAGGTGGGGGAGCAGCTGGCTGCCCTCATCCCTTCTCTTCAAGCTCTCCTTGTTCCTGAGCCTGGTGATGACCCCGTGGCAGGGGGAGGCGTGCGCGGTGGCGGCTCACCCGCAGGCGATGGCGCTGCAGCCAGCGCTGACAGCGCACGCGCTTCGGCCGCCGCCGCTGCTGAGTCCGCCCGCCAGGAGGCAGAGCGGGCCGCTGCTGAGGCCCAGGCCAAGGCAGGTGCTGCAGCCCAGCAGGCACGCGAGGAGCAGTCGTATCAGCAGCTTCTCAACTGGATCCAGGAGCATCAGCGCCAGGACAGCGGCAGCGGCGAGGGCTCCTTCACCGAGACCTTGGCCACTACCCGTGGGGTCAAGCACGAGTTGGCGCAGGGCATCTTCGACTCGCTGCTCGAGACTGCCAGGAAGAGGGCCGAGCATGAAGATCAGGATGAACTTTAGCCAGTGGACATTCGTCACCTCTAATGTGTCTGGCGTCAGCGGGCTCGAAGCTGTACTCTGCCACGCTCGAGTTCGACAGTGTCACGCTCTGGCAGTTCAGGAGCATCATTTGTTAGCCTCTCAGTGCCGCAGCTGTGGGGACAAGTTGAGTGAGCGCGGATGGAGAGCAGTGATGACTGCAGCGTCGCCCGCACGTGCTGGCGGCACAGCTGGCGGCCTCCTGCAGTGCGCGCCGCAGGCCGCGGGTTTGTCCGATATGGAGTGCATGCCGACCACGTTGGCAGACGGACGTGCTCGAGTGTTGTATTGTGCAGGCGTGACAACCAGTGGTTTTCTTTGGATTACGGTGTACCTTCATCACTCCGAGGGGCTGTCCTCTCGCAATTGGCGTATCCTGACTCAGATTGGGGGGGGGGTGGTCAAGACTGCCGGTTTACCATTCGTGATCGCGGGTGACTTGTCAGATGCTGCCAGCTGAGCTACAGGGCAGCTAGTGGATCAGTGCCCATTGATGGCGTCTGTGTCTCTCCTACCTGCGCCACGTGCACAAATTCGAGTGCGTCCGCAGGTCGAGTGATTGATTTCTTCATCGTTTCTGGAGCCATTGCGCACGGGGCCAAGATCGAAGTCATCACGGACGGCGGCGCCGCACCACACTTCCCAGTGCTGATGACATTACCAGGTGTGTCCAAGGCCATGATGCAGGACCAGATTGTATTGCTTCCCAAACGGTTCCCTGCCGACCTACCTGTCGCATGCCGTCTAGCAGATCCTCTGCCTCGGTGGGAGCGTGCGGCGCAGCAGATGAGAGGCGCGAGCATCGACCAGCAGCGGCAGTGCTGGGTCACCAACGCGGAGCTCGACCTGGCCGACATCCACGACATCGATCCCGCTGAGCCGCCTGAGCATGTCGGCCGTGCCCAGCCACTGCGCTTCTCATATAAGCCACCGCCCTGTCCTCAGGCGCTGGCGTTCCCTATCTTGAGCCCAGCAGCCCTCTGGTGGCGACTGCTTGCCCGCTGCCTTGAAGGGCTTGCAAGGTGGCAGCCGCCGCATTCGCGAGACGGCACCATCGAGCTCAGTCGCTGTGTCCAAGCTCGGCTTAAGGTTAGTGGTGTTCCTGCGGTTGATGCCGAGCCTTGGCTACAGCTTCTGCAGCTGCATTTTTCGCCGCCCTATTCGCTCGCAGCTGCAGCAGCGAGGGTCACCAAGGCCCGTGCCTCAGTCATGTATCGCAGAGCTGAGAAAACTAAGCAAGCTGGGTGGCGCGATTGGGTCAGGCGGCACAGTGTGGACGGAACCGCTGCCCTCTATGCGTTTGCCAAGCCAGCCACGCCATGGCACTCCAGCCATGCCAGCGCCGCTAGGACGCCTTGCACGCTTCAGGAGGAGGTGGAGTTGCTTACGACTGAGTGGTCTGAGTGGTGGAGGGTTGGAAGCCTTGATGGCCACGTGCTGTGGCCAGCGGATCTCGGACCCGCCTACGAGCGTCCAACGCTCGAGGGTTTCAAGAAGTGCATTCGTAGTTTTCCCAGGAGGTCGGGATGTGGATTTGGTCAGCTTTGCCCGCGGCAACTTCTGCGGCTTTCTGATCCCGCGCTGGAATCGCTCATCGACGTTTTAGTCGAGGTCGAGACGGCCGCAGAGCGGCCACGCATCTGGACCAAGGTCGTTTTTCTGGCCAAACGCGATGGAGGGCTTAGACCCATTGCGTTAATCCACATCTTAGCTCGCACCCAAGGCCGTCTCAGGAGGTCGCTCGTCGCCCGTTGGCAATGGCAGCATCCGAGGCCCTACTGGTGGTCAACAGCAGGCCGCTCCAGTGACAAGCTCGTGTGGATCCAGTCAGGATCAGCGGAGTGGGGTCTGGCCAAAGGCTTTGCCAGTGCCCTGGTCTTGCTTGGCTTGCAGAAAGCTTTTGAGCACATCAGACATGACGTGCTGGTTTCGGCCGCCTTGCGGTCGGGGTTCCCGATCCGCCAGTTGAAGCTCCTCGTGGGGCTCTATCGGTGCCCAAGAGTCCTCTCTCTTCACGATGCTGTCTCCAGTCCAGTCGAGACCCTTCAGGCCGTACTGCCTGGCTGTCAGTTTGCTACGTTAATGCTGCAGCTGCTTCTTCTGCAGCCGCTTGATGCGGTGCATGCGGTCTTTCCACAAGTGCATCTAGGCAACG